CAGACGAAAAAGCTTTTAGTATGTTGTAAAATGTTTGCTTTTTTCAAAGCCATTTTCAAATTCTGTACCGCAAAAAAATTGTTCATAATTGTAATGAGCAAGAACGGATGAAAATATGAAACATTTGTGAATTATACATACCTGAAAGAAAATATGCAATTTTCTTGTCTGTACAATCTATGATTGATTATTTGATAATGTTCACCAAGTTTTCTTTTTATTGCTTTGTCAAGATCAGATTTTTCTATGCCACCTTTATCTTCCCATATTTTAAAATCTGCTTCAATTTGATTCTTATAACAACCAATTTTCACATTAGGACAATCTTTATACCCTGCAACTGCCTTTTCTATTTTTGCAATATACTCTTTCCATGATTCTAAAATATGAAAAGTTAATGGTGTTATAAAGGTTTTGGAAAAATAAGACCTAAACAAGTCGAAGACACAATGAAAGGACCATTTCATTGTAACTTGAAAGAGAGCCTAACAAGAAAAACTGCTTTACAGAATTTACTAGTTTCTAGAAATAAATAGCCTTGAACATAAATGCAACTTTATTGGCACCTTACAGTGAGCTTTGGTATCAGGCTTCTCTAAAAGTCGTCTATTTTGGGCCTAAGATAAGCGTGTGAGCAGCACAGCATGAGCAAACATTATAATAAATAATAAGAAAAGACGAGCTGGCTTTGGAAAATTGAAGAAATTTAAACTTACCTCTTGTTTCCTTTTGATTTTTGCTAAGGACATTATCCTTTTCTTCGGAGAAAACGCGAGAAACAAAGCTTAAAACTAAAAGCAACACTAACAGACGAGCCACCATCTTTTTAAGCATGGCCCTCCAAACAAAATAGACTCTTCGAAAATGACGCGATTCTGCGAACTTGAATAAGAGGCTAGCTTTCCAAAAATTTGCTAGCTCAAAACATTGACTGTGCTCAAAATGTGCGAAAAACATTGTAAAAAAGATTTTATGCTAAATTGACGGCTTGAATTTGAATAGGTTTATATTTAGAAACGAATAAATGTTGAGTAGTGTTTAATCTGTAGGTTACATCAGGGGTGGATCCAGAGCAAATTGGAAGGAGGAGCAGTTTGTAGTGGGGGTGCTGAAAATTTTCAGAATTTGGTGGCGATTTTCAAAGTGATTGTTATATACTTTGAGGTAATCCTTGAAGTAAATTGACGTATAAATCTCAGAAATTTTTCACCTGATTCTCATTCTTCAAAAGGGGCGCACAATTTCCAAAAAGGGGGGTCAGACTTCCAAAAATGGAGGGGCAACTGCCCCTAGTTTCCCACTTAAATTCGCCACTGGGTTACATTATCTCGTATGTTAGGGCTTTTCCTTTATCCATTAATATAAAATCCCTCGTACTTTTATTTCACTGTTAATAAATGTGTTTATATTAGTAATTAAAGCGAAGAGGGGGCGGTCATTAAGCATGCACCATATGAGGTTTGACTATTTTCCACAAATCTTTAAAAGTTGTTAATGGCCCATACTAGATCCCTTTTTAGTTTTTGTGGCCCAATAGCAAAATCAATATATTTTTCATGACACCATAAAACATCGTCTTCCCTACCCACAAGCCTTCGAAAAATTTTAAAATGCATCGAGTTTTCCATCATAGCAAATTTGTTTGTTTGCTTTGAGGAAAGGTAGTGGGTAAATCTTAGTTTCGAAACAGCATTGTTTCGTGTGGGGGAGGTGCATTTCAATTAATGTCGATTTATTGAGATACAAAGCGTGTTTACAGAAAACAATTTTATATTTAATCCTTCACCTAGAAAGGAGAGACTGCGTTTAGTGTTCTTCCCTTCCCCAGCAAAGTACTGTTGTTTGATTTGAGAAAACGTATTTGGTAGACCTTAGTTTCTAAACAACATTATTTTTTGTGGGGGAGGGGCATTTCATATACGTCATTAAATTGAGCTTCAAAGCGTTTTGTATTTATTCTTTCACCAAAAAAGAAGAGACTGCATTGAGTTTTCTCTCTTTTCCCACCACAGCAATTTTGTTTATTTAATTTCAGAAAATGCAGTTCTAAGTTTCAAAACAACATTTTTTGTGTGGGGGAGGCGCATTAATGCCGTTTTATTGAGATACAAAACGTTTTTTACAGAAAACATTGGAAACGTACGTCAGTGGAGACGGGTCTCAACGCATTTTCTGAAAGATTGCATTACATCAGTTTTTAGAAGAACCATGTGAATAATGTTTTGACAACAGTCGAGAGTGATTCATCCCCAATATTTCTGTGTTGTCATCCACTGGAGGGCAAAATACTTAAGATAATCTGATCTACCTGGATAATCTGATCTACCTGGATATAAAATAGATAATCTGGTCTACCTGGAACATTATTTAAAAATTATAATTTAGCATAGGGCATTGGTTGACCACTAAAACAACATGTTCAGCCAGAGGGCTTTCCAAGAATGCTTAATCGGCACTTTTAACACTTCATACTGCCTTTGAAAGAGAAAAAACTATGCAGATACGATTGTACTGATAGCCTATTCGAAGGGAAATTAGCTGCAGGGCAAACCTTTGTTTATAGAAAGTCATTGGGGGTTGGAGGGGCAATTGCCCCCCCCCTAGTTAGCATGTTAAAAAGACCCTGATTTTACTGTTGCTTGGTATTGTCTCCAACTGGTTACCATTGATCCACTCCTTGTCTCTTGAATAAATTTTAGCATGAAAACTTCTTCAAAGTACAGCTCCATTTTCATCCCCATAGCCACTTTCACTATTTCATCTAGTGTAATAACATTTTATGTCGGGAGGGAATGGTTTTGCTTTTCTTAACTACCCTCTAGTGTGTTGACTTGAATAATTGGCGCCAACTGCATGGGGGTTTGGGGGCTCAAGCCCTCCCTGGGAATTGTAAATGGGATTGGTGGCTAATCTACCACTACCAGTTTTGCTAGCGAGGAAAAGAAATTGGGAAAAAGCATGTCAGCCGTATAGTTTTGCTGTTTAAGAAGCGCAGACCAAGGGAGGTGGTTTTTAAGGCTGCAGTTCTCTATCAAAGAGATCGTTTTGATACGGTTATGCTAAGATGGAAACAGGGGCACGGTGGCCCACCTGGACTCAGGAAATTTCCCGGTAGGCCCCTTGAGACCTTTCATGTAGTCCCGTTGGATTATTCTTTCTTTTAAGCTTTAATCATTTGTAATATCAGATTTGGATAAAAAACAAGTGAAGAAAGGGCTCTTGCTGCCTCCGCTCCTAAAAATTTGACTTTCCCGGCCCATAAAAATCCCCATCATGCCCTTGGATAAAGAGAATTATTGATATATTGTGAAGGATTCCACCCATATTTAAATGACAGCATTTTCATTACGAATATTGAGCAATCTCAAGGAAAATTAAAAGTCTACAACTGTAACGTGAATATTGTAAGGCACCTAAATAATCATTTTCTTCTTCCTTCATCTGTCTTCCTTCCTAAATAATCATTTTCATCTTGCTTTATCATCAAATCATGTTGGCTCTCTAAATACTACCTATGAATCTTAATTGACATAATTATGCTATCATCTAGCTCTCTTTTCTTCTTTCCTCTTGTCTATTACCAGTGGCGTAGCGTCCGGGTATTCAAGGTATTCAGTGAATACCCTGAGATTTCTCAGAAAAAATATTAATACGACGTATAATTGTAATAACTAAAAAATGTTTTGGGGCTATTGATTCTGGTTGAATTCGTTGCCTTCGATATTCTACATTTTGTATAAGTACAAAATATCACGAAATTCATGGAAACAATAACGCTGCGAAGCATAGAGAAGCTGGGAGAACTTTGAAGCTAATTTTGAAGATTGAGTTACTTCATGTTGAATGGAGATCGGTCATGAATACGCAGTGAATACCCTAGACGGTACTTTAACCAATCAAAATGCTCCTTTCCATGAATAATATTTGCCGTTAATCAGCTAAAACAATGGTCTTGTACGCTGAGAAATATGCAGCGTACAGCCTCAAAGTTGGTTCAAAAAAGTCTCGTTTTGAGATCGATGTAAACAGTTAATGGACGTCGGAGCTGTTGGAGTGGTGGATCTTCATCGAAAACAGTAAACATGACTTCATTCAAAGCTATTGCAGTGTCCGTATTACTGTTTAATAATCATTCTCTCATTTGACCCCTAATCTTAACCTACCAACAGCAAAGTGGAAAGGAAAGGTAGGCTTCTACATAATGCTATGCTAACTCAGATCTGTGCCTCTTGAAATGCCAATTTTGTTATTGCTTGTCAATCAGGGATGCTTCTGTTTGTATTATGTGATAGAATTAAAGTGAATGCAGATAGGCCTGGATAATATCCTTATAGTTGCCTGGTGTATTCAGTTATATTGTTGGCCTATTTTGTTTGCATTATTCGAGCGCATTTAGTTGCATTATTGTGCAGTCTCGTCTCATTACCTTCGATTCTTTCAATCAACTTGTATTGAAAATATCACGACTAAGCCATGAAGAAAAAGTCTAGACTGCATCCACTGCATACCACAAACTATTTATAACTCGTGTAATGCCCTATGTGAATACCTTTCGAAAGCCCTTTTGTATTAAGGTATCAAGAGAAGGTGTTTACAGTTACTTCCTCTTTAAATCAGTACAAATTTTAGAGGATTCAACAACAACTATTGGGACATATTTCGACTAGCAAAATTTTACTGACTTTCAATGATACGTTTTGATTTGAATTACTTTTGATGAAATGGTTAGTGGTATTTTGATGCAATGAATGAGTTCGAAGAGTATATTTGCGTTGAGTTTTTTAGCAAAGTATTGTTTTCATCATAGTAATGCCCTGACAGTGCAGTACTTGCCAACCGAACCAGAAAGAAAATTAGATAAATTGTCAATAGCTAGTCCTTTTAATCCTTCTATTATCCCTCCTATTTCCATCAAGCCACACCCTGCCCCACCCTTTTGTTTAATAGAGAATACCTAGTTGAAAAAGTCACGCTACGCCACTGTCTATTACTCACGCTAAGGTTTAAACGATGATTCGCATATTCATCAACTTGTCTGGATGGACATATAATGGACATAAATAGCTTGCCTTTAATTAACTTCTCTGCGTTGCAGTACATTTTGACTTTTTTACCGTTTAAAGAAAATTTTATTGCATGTAATGATTCTAATATGATACTGCATATCTCATTGATCAAATATTTAAACCTATTTTCATTTCCCATAAGTATTATAATTTCCCATACATTTAGATTATGGGTGCCAATAATTTCAACAATGTCAGGGGTCCCGATTATTGTGATGCAAGTCATTGCAATTCCTTTATATTTATCTACAAGCTATATCTATATTTATCTATTGTGAAGTACAATGTTAGTTACGATGAAGCATGTTTCAGGAGTACAATCACTGCTAAAATTACTTGGAACACCCAACACTTTGCGCTGTGCTTTTCCCGAATACAACTACTTCCGTCCCCCTTTCCCCCTAAAACAATTTTGAAAGTATAGAAAAATATCATACAAGGCACACGAAAAAGTGTACTCCGTAATCCCTTCCTTTTTTCTATAGTAAATCAACATAGTTCTTTGGAGGAGAGGGGGGTTTGCCTTTGAAAACTGACGTTAGTGTTCCAAGACTTTTGGCAATGATTGTAGGTAGAGCTATGAAAAGATGTTGATCATACGATCAATAACCGTGACAGGTGCATTATTACAAGGGTGCAAAGGGGGCCCAAGGGACAATGCTTTTGTTACATAAAATATTTGAATTTTGAATGTTTCTCCAAAGAAGGTTTCCAGAGAATACAAGGCTTGGGGTTATTGTCTAAAGAAACAATAAACATTTTCGTGGGCGCTGGGGATATGACACCCACTATACCAAATATTTCTGCCTGTGAACCGTAACCTTTTCCCTCACTTTTATCCCGTCAATTTATTTTGGATCAGCTCAATAGCAGTGCTTTCTTAAGCTTTAACAAGACAAAATGCACCGTAGAGACTAAGGTCAACCGAAAGTCTAGTGCTGCGAAAATGATGGAAATCCTGTTTTGAAAAGTTAGTTTGATAAAATAGGGAATGCCCGGAAAGAGAAAAAAATTGCACATGAACAGGCTCAAGGGCTGCTGGGAAGATTCCATTGCAATTTTTGTGCGTTCCTCAATTTTTTACAGTAAGACTTTTTGTCCAGTGAACAATTTTTATATTCATTGTTATACAAAAAGAGCAATAAGTACTTACTTTCGTTTCTAGACGAAGACAATGGTGAAACTATAGCCTGAAGCCTTACTGTCTCAATAGAAACTTAAAAGTGATCTAAGAGAAAAACCCTATGTTTGGCATTTCTTATCAAGAGCAGCTGTAAATTCACCTCAATGGAATTGCTATAACATGAATTAAATGCAGGGGCGTTGAAGGTAACCATGTGACAGCGAAATGTATATTGCATTTTATCTGCAAAGAGTCAACCAGTAGAAATAGCAGGAAGTAATTTGATGATGTGCATAATCGTTTAAACTTTTATTGGCTGAAATAGTTAGCCCGCAACTGAAACGAGCGTTTTATGGCATTTTTTAATAATCTGACCTCCACGAGGTCTGATCGCTTATTTTGCCTGCATCCCGTTTTTAATTGCTTTTAGGCTACTTTAAATACTTTAATGTATTTGTTGCTTCTCAAAATGTAGCAGTATGGAAAATTGGAAGTAATTAATTGCATCAATATCCTTCTAATTTGGACGTCATGCGTTATTGTTAAATGAAGTTGAATTATCTAATGATTATTATCCAATTATTCATTAATGGTGTTAATTGGCCCTTTAAAGATATGCTTGGATTGTGACATGAAGCTCAATTGTTAAGTGATAGGGAGAGCCTTGCAGCAATTTTTTGCATCTAAAGAAAGAGTTGCACGATTGCTTTTTGTTTGAGAATCTTGGTTCTAGTCCACTGACATCCAAACCACAGAATAGGAATTAGGCACAACTCCTGCCTATCAGGAGAAGCCTGAAAAAACTAGCGTATGCGTTAACTTATACGAGGCTTAGCATGTATCTATCGGGGAAATTTTAAAAAAGAATGAAAGTAGACAACTTTATTTGAGACGAAATGCCCCATGATAGTGAACAAATTCAATTATGTATCATAATTCGTTTATATCTGATTAATGAATTATAATTTGTCATGGCTAAGTTCGTCTAATGAAATCAAGGTTAAAGGTGAATTTAAGGGCCTCTCCAGTTTTCTAAAGAAACTATTTATTCTGTTATCGAGGAATTGCAAATCATGTGTGTAATACTGTATTTTGTAACAAGTACACTAGAGTTTCTGTCCACAGGTGACAAGTTGCCGATTTTGCTTTTCCGCGACACACAGGTTTAGTCTGTTTTCTTCTACCTTACTTGGACAAACATTGCTTTTTCTAAATCCCTAATAAATCACGTCAAAGTTGAACATGCCCTTTTATTGGAATTGTGAATATGTCTTCTCCTCTGCAAAATTAAAGCCACGAAGCCCCTAAATGGAAGCCAGTTACTCGCTAATCGCCTGTCATTAAGGGTCTATATTCAGGCCACAATGAAATTTATAAGCCGACAAAGTCTAACAGTAAGCATTGCTAGCAATGGGAAATAATTCACTCTCATATTAATTCAAATTAATTGAGGAGCTAGTTGATGAGATTGCTGTAAGAAAATATATGATTAGAGTTGTGCATCATTTTCGCTTGAAATAAGTATGAAACATCACTCAAAACTTAGACTATCAGTAGAACGTTGAAAAGATGCCCATTTATGTGCTAGTGCATCTTTTGTCTAGGGCAAATCTTGAAATGGAAGGCAACAGGACCGGGAGAGCAAGAGTGCTTTAACAAACAATTTCCCATACAACAGTGGTGGGACACGAAAATACTAACTTTGATAACCTAAGAATGGGGGACTCGACCCTTCGCGAGCCCCCTAGCTCCACATTGTCAGAGAACACAGGGGTGAAAAAGGTTGTTCATAGAATTCAATCGATGTTTATGTTTTTTTGGAGAGGCAGGAACCCTGCTAAGAATGATGGTATCTACTGCCCAGAACGACAAAGAAATCACGATAATAGATGCATTTCTCTATGCAATGAAAAGATACACACCTACTACCTATTACGTTGCCTATAACCATTTCTGTTCAGTCAAATGGAACCCCCTCCCTAGATTAATGTACGTTACGTATGACTTGTGAAATAAACAAATGATGTAAGCATTATTGTGTTAAATTGAATTGTAATTCTAATGGTCTTTTTATAGCAAGTAATTAAGAAGTAATAGAGTGTGTTTTGCACTGTAATATGTACGCTGCACGAAATGAGAACAGGCCAGTCACCACTTGCACTGTCAGACCACAGATGAAAATGAAGCAGTCCGTGGGTTTTACACTACTGGTGTTAGCAGCAGTGGCCATTTGGAAGAATGAAGGTGTGCCTTGAATACTCAATTATAATCGTTACTAGTTAAAATAATGTTACTTGTTTTATTGAATTAAGGTTACATTTCTGCAGAATTCGTAATTAATTTTGTGCCACTTATCTTAACAACCCTGTTTGTCGTCTTTTCAAGGTTTTTAATGACATAGTTGCAACTAGGCTCGACGTCCATTTGTTTCTATCTATCGTTTACATAATGAATAACATTTGTAAGCTGTTTTTCCAGTATATTCAGTACAGGAGAAGCTATTCATTTAAACTCTCCATATCTTTGAAACAAAACCTGTTATTACTTTGCATTAGATATTGACGAGCAAATGATTAAGATCGAGCTAACGGGGTATAGTGTGAAGTAAACCCAAAAAGCGAAATTCAGGAGCAAAAGATGAGAGGGCGAGAGGGCCTTTGCCCTCCAATAATCTTCTTATGCCAGCATTGGTCCCTTTTTGTATTAAAACACTTTTCGTTCGCTTTGTTTGATATGCTATCCTGCTCCCTTCCCTACCCCCCCCCCCCCCCCCCCCTATCCTAATGCACGATGTGATCTTTTTACCTTGCTACGTTGACCTCTAAGCGATTAACGCTTTAACATTAAAAAATTTCTCTCAATTTCTAGCTACATATAGCAAAATGCCTTCCGTTGGCTACACAGCTTGGAGAATCAGAAGAACGTTCCTTTCATACGGAGGAAAATTGAGCTATGGCAAGCATTTTTCAAGTAAGCAAATTCTTACTAATTCAATTCATCAAATTTTAGATGCTTAAACTTGTTTTCAACTTTCATAGTTGAAAACTTCCACGTTGTATTCATCGTGTATAAAAAGTTTAATTTTTCTTACCAAGTGATCATGTTTTCAGGATAAATGTGGTAGATACGGAGAAGATGGCCGTATGAATCGGAGAAAAAGTTTGATTAACATACAAAGAGAGTACCCAATAGGTCCCCTAATTCCCGATTTCCCGCTTCGTTTTTAGCTCGATTCCCGATTCCCGACCGTCAATTCCCGAATCCCGGTGTTATCGATTCCCAAATCCCGCCCACAAAAACTTTCCAATTACGGATTCCTGACTCTAAAAAAGAGGCTATTCCAGCTTTCCCGAAAAACATGTTGGGTACCCTCTAAAAGCGGATAAAGTATGAGTCTACCCGCTTAATGATCAACAACATCTGCTGCATTGTCAATTCTGATACTTTTGTATACTGGGTACCAGGGTCTCCATTATTCAGTCTCAGAAATAAAGTTAAAAACCAACTACGTAGGTGTAGATGCCGGCTAGGGTGGGCTCGAACAAGAACCATACCTGAGGGGGGCGGGCTTTAAAACAAGAAAACAAATATGCAACAAACATATATATTTGGACTAAATCAAGCATATGGAATTATAATTATGCCAACTTTTTCAAATATCATTTGAAAAAACTTCAGCCAGAGGGGCAAGTTGTTGTCAAAATTTTCACACAGCCCCCCCCAGGCGAAACTAGGCGCAGACAATTTTTTGGACATTCCTTCCCTTCCTCCGCATCCACTCATTCTTGTCACCGCAGCTGTCTACAATACTTTGTCCTCTGATTCATGAGGCTCTGGTACCCAGGGTAACACTTCGACAAAAGCAAGTTTCAAGCGACATAGATATGAGGGTTTTATTGATGACATTTCCATGTTGTAGTGCTAACATATCATTTTTAAAAAAAAATTTGTATTTCTTATCAGCCGTATTTCTTAAAAAGCGACACCATACACGTATTGCTATAGGAAACATTTCAGCTGCTTTTTGATTATAAGAAATTATGAAATAATCTCATCTTTTATTGAATAAGATGTCCGGCTGAACCTTTAATTATAAACTTGATAAAGATTTGTAAGTTTATCCAAAACAGATTTTTCCTGGCTTGCTACAAAATTTCTTTAATGAATTTCAGGCTTGAAGAAAGTTGATTTGTTGTTCGTTTTGGATCGATCCGGAAGCATCGGGCAGAATAACTTCAAATATGCGCTAGACTTTATTGCAAGCCTCGTCAAGCATTTCAGCATTTCTCCATCGACAACAAGAGTGGCGCTTATTTCATACGCAACAACAGTCAAAGTTGAATTCAACTTCAAAGAACATTTGAACAAAGAGTGTCTATTGAAGGCACTAAAAGACGTACAGTAAGCTAATTTTTTTTAATTTATCTGAGTTAGCCCTCGGCTAAACCCTAGGGGTGATTCACGTTTGCGTACGTACGAGATTTCCATCAATACAAAAGGATTTCTACGGATTTTTCGATAAAACAATAGGATTTCCATTAGAGGTGTACGAGACTTCCATGGAATGATTGGCCTTTCGCGCTAAGCTTCATTTGTTGAACTTAGATTAGCCCTAGAAATATTTTTGACGTGTAGAAGAAGCTATGCATCGGTTTTAAATACCCTTGTTTTGAAGCCTGTCACCCTACCCCTAGGTTGTACCGCCATCCCTAGCTGCAAAGCAGTAAAGAATCCTAGTTGAAGATTTTTTCTCTCCGCTTCATGAAATATCATTAGTAGTTGAATCTCACTGTGAGTCACTGTGACGTCATTTTCATCTATGTTAGCAAACACTTCTGAACTCTTGATCATACATACTTCTGGGGTTAAGGTAAATCTCCCATATAGCACATAGGGCGCTAATAAAATCATTGATTTCCAGGATGTGAGCGTTTGGTTGAAAAGCGTTAAAAGATGGGTGTAAAAAATTAGTTTAGGCAACAAAAACTTTAATGTAAAAGAGCAGGGTTGTTAGGAAAAGCAAAAGCGTTGAAAGAAGGTGGGGGATAAGAGAGGATAACACTTACAGTATGATAACACTAGAGCCTAGACAGAGGATAACACTTACAGTATGGAACTCTGTTTAGCCCGAAACATAAGAATATTTTCCAAATTTGAATCATAGATACACCGGTGGAGCAACGGCAACTGGAAATGCATTGCAGAAGGGCATCGAACTTTACCAAGATCCAAACTCGGGAGCTAGGCCGAACGCCAAGAGAATTGTCTTCGTGATTACCGATGGCAACACGAATGTAGGCGTGAAACCGAAGATCCCTGCCGACCAATTACGAGCTGCCCCATTAAAAGCGAAGGTGTTCGCCCTTGGCATCGGCACCAGCGTGAATGAAGCCGAACTCGTTGATATTGCGGGTTCCTCTAGTCATGTATTTAGAGCTAAGAATTACCAAATTCTAAAGAAGATTGCTCACTATTTGGGAGGCTGTAAGTTTATTTTCTATTTAGCCCAATACTATCAAAATGAATTTGCAGTTTGACAAGAAAAGCAAGATTTAGATATTTAATGACGTTTGACGATCAATGAAAAATTTATTAAAGCTAGAAATACGAGCAAGGTAGTTCGGGACATACCCAAGTTGAGACTTTAGACAAAGTAACAAACTTAGAAAAAGTGGATGCAAGAAGCAATGGTAGAATGAAGCAATGCTAAAATTTAGGTTAAGAACTTCAAACTGTTTATTGACTTGAGTGAATTTAAAATGAAATCATTTCAAGCTTAGTTTCTTGAATATAGAAAAGTCTTGTATAGAATTCAACATAATACACTGCATGTTCCTAAAGATTTATTTCGTCGTTCTTCGACTGGCAAATGCTTTGCTTTGCGTTCTATATTTATAAACAATTTTATATAAATACAGGCCACTTTCTTCTGCAGAAGTCTTAGAGGCATAACTCTCAAGGTACCATTAATTGTTCTATCTCTAGGGTCTTTCCACTCATGCTATGGATGCGGTATTCGTTATGACGAATGTGGAAGAAAATGTGAATGCAAATATGGCAAGCTAGTCAACTGCTGTCGAGTGCGAAAGGATTTTACTTCGATGTCAAACACAGAGAGACGGCGATACATTGCGGCTATCAAACTTGTTTCAACCACTCAGCCATACAAGGCAAGATACGACACTCTCATCGGCATTCACAGACAAAATTTCTTCATTCGCATCCACACAGTAGACGAGTTTCTTCCATGGCACAGATGGTAAGTTTATAACTTCTTAAAGTGTTTGTAGGGAAAGCCACGCTGCGACCTGATACTGACAGCAACATCTAAATCTAAGTCTTCCTTTTCATTGCCAAAACCTTTTCTCTTTGCACGAGCATGAGATTTTTGTATTTTGACTAAGGATTGATGTCGTGCTTAAAGACAAACATTTTAATAAATGTTGGACTTCTTGTTTGACCCAATACTTGGTTAAGTGGGGTACGGTTAGCCTACACGTAGATCCAGTAAAGACTCTCTATTTAAAAACCTTTTAATCATTCATCTTAATCATAATACATTGTAGTTGCTAATGGTTACCAGAAAGATAAATATTACGTAAATGTGTATATAAATATATAAAATAATAGTGTAGACCAAGTGGGAAAATACACCTACGAAAGTTCATGTTCTGGCACAAACGGGGATCGCAAGATCCTCAGGTCTGCAGTAAGGAATCTCTTTTTAAAAATTGTTCATCCTTCATTTGATCCAGGGACTGGAGATGCAAGAAGATGGGGACTACCTGAAATAAGCCCTTCAGTGATCCCCAAACCGTACCTGGTGTATATAGTGTACCAGACTGTACCATTTAGGATTCTGGTATCATGCAGTGCAGTGACTGATTTGCTTTTCTGCAATTATTGCGTAATTGCATTGTAATGGAAGTGGAATTGAACCAGAATTTCTTAAACCTATACTAGCCTACTTCCAGCCAACAAATCAACCAACCAAAACTGACCGGGGTTAGTCACTACTCGACCAAGTCTTCAATATAGTAAAGGGTCGCCATACTGTCAGAACTAACAATAGTAGATCATATGTCCATTGCAGCGAAATACTGCATCACATTAAACATGTGACTTAGAGAAGGACGTCGGGACCGGGGGAGCTAGAGAGGCATGGCCCAGACTTTGAAAAAGTGTTTCTTTCTAAAAGGTACTATCTTCTTTACGAAAATTTCCCTTTTTTCTGAGACGAGGTGCCCCGTTCTACCTGTTTCCATCCAGCTTTCAAATGCTCCTGACGTTTATTACCAAAGAGTAGCCATTAAGAAAGGTCTTTCTCTCCACGCACACCTCTCGTTGCAGATGTAATGCTCAGTAAAAGCTTTCAGTTCAAAGCAATACGTGTCAGACTATATATCCATGATAAATAGCCAAGTGTTTATTTAAACATGTCCGAAATATTTCATATCACTTAGGTACATCTGGGAACTTGAGAACCTGCTTAGAGAAGTCGACTGTCGTGTTACTGTTCCTTATTGGGACTGGAGTCTTTGGGCGCATGATCCATGGAGTCCAAACCTGCCCTCGCTTTGGCATGCATCAAACCGAGGATTTGGCGGTAATGGTTCTCCTCCTGGTGGCTGCGTCAACACTGGTCCATTCAGGCAAGCCGTTTGGTCGACCACCACTGGCGTATGCTTGAGAAGAAATTTCAACGGAATGGTACCTGATGCCGCTCAAGTGCAGTTTGCTTTGAACATCAACAATTTCAATTCATTTGAGTCATTCCTGAGGATTAATCTCCATAATCTTGTTCATTGCTTGATAGGTAAGCTTTTACGCTATCTTAAATTAAGGTACTCATTCAGTAGCGTACTTCGACACTCTGGACTGGCGGGATGTTGAGTCGGGAAAAGACATAAATGAAGATAATATTGTTCCCATTTTACTGACCAATCAACAAAATTGCTAACCAACTCTATCGATAAACTCTTGAAAAACTAAGGGCTGTCGCACCTGCTATATCCCAAGCTACGCTCCTATACGCAGGATGTATTCAAAAATCAAGGGTCACAAAAATTTTGACACGGGAATTTTAGATTGACTATTTTTGCATGGTTTGTTTGCATGCTATGAAACAAGGATTTTCAAAGCTCATCATAAAGGTTGACCCAGTCTCGAACTTACCTAAAAACGCACTGGTAGTCCGGAAACTAAGCAGAAATGCTATAGGTTAAAGATAATTGGGTCTCTACTCTACGATTAAACAAAATGTCTCTGAGATAATTTTACCATGACTACAAACGATCGGGGGACAAAATTTGAGGTGTATACAGAACAATAAATTTGAGATTGATTTTAAATGCAAAATCTGTCAAAGCAATATACTCAGGAAATTTGTAATCCTTACTGTCAAAAGTTCAGAAAAATAATCAAATTTCCGAGCGACAAAATGCTTAGTTTTTGCTTTAGCCATAACAAAAAAGGATTGGGGGTCAGATTCCTTAGCTTGTCTTGTCATGGGACGGTGGATATGGAACGATATCTGCTAAAAAAATCAGACCAGAGGTGCGATATTGCAGAGGCTTAGGGTTTGCTCTTCCTTTAGAATGTAAAAGATGGGTCATTTTCTCCTCTTTCTTTGTCTACTGAGTTAAATTGATGAGAGCAATCCAAATGCAACAAGGAAGCTTTGTTGAGTCATAAACATAGTGGCCATTCGAGTTCTTCATGCAGCCAGCTGAGGGATGCTCTCTGGCTGAAAGTCGCTTATCATCAGGATAAGGGGGTGTCAGAACCCATAGTTGATTCAACCAGCTTGACTGAAACGAAGTTATTGGGGTTTTGATTCCTGCTTACGGTAGAATTCAACTTATTCCAGCACTGACTCGAAAATAAGACCAATTCAATTCAAAGAAAATATAACCTAAGACCAAGTCTTCAAGCACTATTGCTCTTTCATATATTGGCCTATATATATCAATTGATTGATCATTCCGTATTAATTGATTGTACTCTGATGGATATAGTTCATAGTCTTTCACTACCACCCACTGTAAGGAGATCACTTCTTAATTAATTACCTCTGCTCATTGTAACAATTAACGATTATATATTTTAGACGGCACGATGTGTACCATTGACTCGGCAAATGCACCAGAGTTTTTTATGCACCATGGTTTCATTGACAAAATCTGGTATGACTGGCAGAAAAAGAGTGCAGTTAACAAATACGCTCATTTCCTCAACATCAACCAGAAGCTACAGGCGTCGCCATATTATCCTCGTGACTTCATCGATATTGCCGACCAACCAAAATGCGTTAAAGTTTGTTATGCTGAGCCACGCATCCACAAGGCCAAGATAGTGAGACAATATTTGTCTGGTAAGTTGACAAGTGCAGTATAACGACTCTGTAAAAGCTGTCGCTAACTACACCTTGGACTTTACAATTTTGTCCCTTGGGGCCCGTAAGACTCCTTGTATACATTGCAAAGGACCAATTTTATGTGAAAACATAGTGAGAACGACGTTTAACTGGCGACTTAAGGACTGTTGATCCTTCGTTCGATCATATTACTGATATTAAATCGCTGGCAATCCATAACATCTTTAAAGACTCATTGCTAACAATGAGCCATTGCGCTACGCAAGCATCCCATAATGCATTTTTAGACTGTCTGAAATCAATTTTCGTTAATCCGTAGAAGTTTACTGCCATTGTTTGGACTGTCGCCACGCTCGCAAAGGCCCATTGTTACCAATGAGTTTTTAAAGGATTGCTCAAGATAAACTGAATTTCTTCGGTATCGAACGTTGGGGTTTAGACAACAACGACCTGTATACCAATGTGGTTCTTTGATAAAAAAAATCGGTTTATTGTTTTAAACGATATAATTTATACCTTTGTAGGTTTGACTAAAAGACAGGTAGTTGGCTTGCGCAGACTGCCATTCTCAAAACTCTCTGACAAAGTTTTGGATGCATTCCATGTTCCTATGGCTGAGCGAAAGACTGCTTACAAAATGGAGAAACAATCTTGGATGGGAATCAGTCACACGCAGGCGAGAAAGTACATCAAGACGTTGAAAGGTGTCGAGCGTATCTTGGGTTTCAAACTTCCAAAACAAAGTGCCTAAATGGTTCAAACGACGAAACCAATTCACCATGGTTCATGTATTCTTTCAAACTCAGCGTAACGAGACATACTTAATTGTAGGATTACCTTGCATGAAACAATTACATCATTTAATTTTATTTAATTTATTTAATAATTTGTCTATAACCCACCATCTTCACTTACGGAGTCTTCTAAGTTACTTTCCTTTACTAGTAAAGCTAGGAATCTGATTCAAAAACTAAGAGATTTTTGATCAAATCTTCTAAACTATTGTCTTTAAAACCTCTACCAGATAGCTGGATTCAAACTTTTTTTAACCGACTTAAAAACAATGGGTAAAGATAAATGACCTAAAATTGTAGGAAGATATAATGGTAAAATATTTGGAATCGCCAGTAGTACGCCCAAAAGTTACTTTGCCTCGAGATGTTCTTTTTATACAGAAGAGTTTCTAATTTTTGCAAAAACTGAAACTATTGTTGACAAAAGATCTTCGAAAAATCTTTAAAAAATGAAACATCTTGTTGATATTCCAAAATAATTTTTTGCTCATCTCTGTTTTGGATTTAAAGCACAAGGCAATTTGTTTTTTATAACCTCGTGCAAAAACAGACAATTTAAATCTAAACTCCATCAATACTAAAGGTGGAGAGCGGCGACACGCTCTCAACTAAACTCACATATTTAGATAGAGAATTCGGAAATATTGGGAAAATGCATGTTGTGGGCCCAAGTTAAACTGTCCCTGAAAGTTCCTTTTGTCATTGTAATAAATAGTGCATAACTTGTGTAGAAATTGTGCAAGGAAATAACATCATGTGCGTAGCTCGTCAGTAGAGTGCGATGCACCGGATTAGCGATGCACCGGATTAGTTCTGCATACATTCGTCAGTCTCTAATATTCCAGTACTATGTTTCGGTCAAGAGGCAAATCACTCCATAAAAATCTCGTCCAGCTTTGGTGGAAATCCTATGGTTCTATCTGAAAATCCCTGGAAATTCTTTAATCGACCTTCTGTTTTAGCACTATGTCATGGTCTCCAAGAACTTTGAAAGGGGTGTTCCCTATTGGTTATTACAAGATCGTTAACAGAGTCAACTCAAAAATGGACGAATAAAATGTTTAAAGGGCAAATATAACGACATTCCAGTAACCATTAATCTACCACGCGCATAACTGTTTTCTAAGCATGGCAAAAAACAAAGATCGTTTTCATGAAATTAGTTCATTTCTAAATTTTTAGGCATCTTTAAATTGGAAACTTACTTCCAATAATGCGTTTTTACTAAATTTCCAACACTTCGACAAAGTTTTCAATTCTGAATGTGCTCCAAATTCTTTACACAGAACGACGTATCCACAATTTTTCAACAAAATTCACTGACAGAGATAAGTTTTAAAATCCTATGTTTCGTTTTCCTACAATCTAACACGATTTACGCGGCCTGCTTCTGCAACTCCAACTTCCTCTTCAAGCTTTCAGGCATTTCTGGTGGTGGTGGGCGTGGCAAGCGGAAGGCAACCTTGACTGAATCGTAGATGAACCATTGCAGGGCAGTCAGTGTACCAATCATAATGATACGGGGTCCAAGACCTTTCCATAATCCTGCAATAAATGGGAATAAAAGAAGCTCAATATTTTGTTGTAGGACATTATTCATATATCTTGTGTATCTTATTTATCTCTCAGGGTTTGAGGGAGAGCTACTAAGAAAGCGAGGGTTTGAGGGGACCCCTAAAAGTTTCAAGATCTTTTTGAAACAATACGATGAATTGTTTGCTCTTGTTTTTAGCATGTTGAGCCCCCAAGGGTTTTAATCCCCTAAGTTTGTAATATCATCAATAGTTCCTAGTCAATCCATCTCATACGTAAAAATATATCATGGAAGTAATTTGTTCCAATGTGATTAGAATCTAGCATAAGTTTGGTTCTCTTTTAGAACCAGCCAAAAGTTTTACTTAAACATGAATGAAATGCTACAGATCCTACAATCTAAGGCACACACCTAGTATCGACAATTAACCACAAAGTTTGGGCCTTACCTTTCATGCCAAGCTCTCTTGCTGCTTGGATTGGTGTACTGCCGACATCATTGTTCAGTTTTGAGACAACTGTGTCAGCTGGATGGGACACGACGGCACAGAAAACACCAGCAATGTAACCAGCTGCAAAAGTGACAACCAACTGTTCTCCTTTTGTGCAATCTGATCTTGGTTTGGGGACGACATATTTGTACAAAGCTTCAACAGTTCTTTCAAAGCATGCAAATTTCATCATGGTGTATGGGATCTGTCTCATCCAAAGGGGTGGAAGGCCCTTGTAAAATCTGTTAGTGATAAATTTTTGTGTTATTTAATCTAGAGCTCCTCTGCAAACAGGTTTATTCTAAACTAAACAGCACAAATGTTGTGAATATTACTGTTTAATTGTCTATAATAAAGTGGGTGGTGCATTATGGGCACTTGTACATGATTTGGTCTACAAAGCATGAAAGCCCTACGTTATAATTCTGAATTTAACACTTTTTTTGATCATCAGGGAACTGTTGTAACAGAATTAATATATGTGACAGAATTCTCTCCCAAAATTTTCCATAAAGAAGGCTTGACCATTTAAGGTAAGCAATAGCCAATGCTTGCTACAACACACAACTTGCAAAATGAGACAAGCTCTTGCAACTTGACAAAACACAACTTGCAAACTGTTAACCACCCACTAAAGTTCAAAACAAAATAAAAGCTACCCTGGGATTGAAAACTGTTTTGGTGCTAAGTTTCATTGAAGATGTGTATTACAAAAATGTGCATTAACAATTCTAAAAATTCTGGCTGTGTACAACAAAAAGTATATGACTTTGACTTAAAAACAATGCTGTGTTGCTGCCTTAATTTACAATATCCTTGAATTTTAGGAAGTTTTATATTTTATATGTGTTGAATTGCTATTTCATAACAAAGCGAAAAAACCCAACAAGCAATTCAAAGCCCACCAAGAAAAACAGGTGAAGAAGTTGGTACATTACTGAATATACATCTATATGACATATCTGGGCCCTGGGTATGATATTGTGTGGTATTGATTTCTATATAGTATTATGTTACGGCCAAAGAAGTTGGTACATTACTGGATATATATGTCAATAGGACATAAACCTGGGCCCTGGGTATGATATTGTGTGGTATTGATTTCTATATAGTATAAATCATGTTATGGCCGAAGAAGTTGGTACATTACTGGATATATGTCAATAGGACATAAACCTGGGCCCTGGGTATGATATTGTGTGGTATTGATTTCTATATAGTATCATGTTATGGCCGAAGAAGTTGGTACAATGCTGGATATATGTCCATAGGATATAAACCTGGGCCCTGGGTATGATATTGTGTGGTATTGTAAGTATACAGTATCATGTTGACAGGTCTCAGGTCAAATCTACACACATATATTTTCAAAAGTTTTTATTTTCTTCTAAATGAAACAAAGCAAACATTTAGCATCCAAATGGAAACAATTCATTTTCAAACATTTTTCTAAATGATTCAACTCTCAAATTCTTTTAACATGTTTTGGTTTGAAAATGTATTATTGTAGATGTGGCCTGAATAGAAACTGGATGTACAATGCCTGCCAAAAGTCTTGGAACACTGACATCAATTTCCAAGGTCAAAACCAATCATCCCCCTCTCCCCCACGGAACAATGTTGGTTTACTATCAAACGGACTAGGATTTTAGGAAGCACTTTCTTTTGCGCTTCTTTTATGATATTTCTCTAAATCATCAACATTGTTTGAGGGGGAAGGGGGCGGAAGTAGCAAATTTTTTTCATGAAAGGAATGAAAGATATCAAATGCAGCGTAAATTGGTGGGTGTTCCAAGTACTTTTGGCAGGCATTGTCTGAATTTCATTTTGAAGCTTATTAGATATTCCACCAAAACCAATATCCTCCTATAGGTTTTTGATGGTGCTGATTCCATTTCTGCCATTTTCAACATCGTACGTGTTACCGATAAGGAGATATGGGGGTATTGTCTCTTTTCGGGGGTGGGGGTAAGCTACCCCCATAAAACTAAATGCCATATTTCAATTAAGGTGAAAATTGCTAAAATCAAAATCGATTTCCAATAAATAAGATCAAGATTGTATTTTGAATCTTTTCAAAGGCTCGTAGCCAGATGGCTGTCTAAGAAATAATGGGATAGATGAAGGAGACAAATATGAGTGGCAGCTAGAAAATAATCTAAAAATGGAAAGGATGCAATTTTATAAAAGTGACATCGATTCCTCTGTTTCATGTTTCTAATTATAGATAAGGTCGTATTTGAGAATTATGTCGGGTAGTTGCTCTCCTTTTATCACGGATTTACAAGTTGTCATTCATATAGGCCCTTGTTGTGCAATTCAGTGCCCAAATGACAAATTTCAGAGTGTTTACCTAAATTGTAGAAAGGAACCCCGTGTTTCCCACATCAGAGTTCCCAACTGATTGATCTACTATTCCATGTTGGTTGGTAAGGGAACTGAAATAAAACTGACATCCACTCGCCTTCCTGCGCTCCTAAATGCTTGGCCCAGAAGCACTACAAAGAAAGCCCTCTTCCCTACTGTTACTGCATTGCCAAAATGGCCTTTAAGTTAGACTCTACCTGCTACTTTTGTCTTCATAAAGCGCAAGGCAGATTATTTCATCGTTAATTGATTGCTGTATTTGTTTGCGTGACATTTGCCACAACAAAATATATTATTTCATCGAATGTAGCGCGCGTCGATGTGAAGGACAAGGCCCCGCAAGGCAACTCTCACCCTCGGAAATGAACGCTTGTAGACCGTTGTGTAGACCGTGGCTGTTTCTTCGCAATTTTCTGACTTGTCAGGGGGATGTTTGCCCCCAAATTCACCCAAAAGGTGTATAATAATACCCCTCAAAGACAAAATTAACCTTTGTATGAATTCCATGAAGAAAACGGCAAAATATGACGAAAATCCCACGGTCTACACTCAAAAGGAGAATAAGATCTAGAGTACTTCAAATTCAATTCTCAGAAAGTGTAGACCGTTGACACTTTCCTGAATTTCTTCAGTTTTACAACTTGTATCGATCTGAAAACCTACAATATTTTTTATACCAGCCATGCACACCTACTGACGAGGTTTCGTCTACTTTCTTTGAAAAATACGATTTTTATGAACATTTTAAATGTGTAGACCGTGGCTGTAGACCGTTGGTAACCATTGGCAATAGGCATTTTCATACTACATCACGTGCCCATTAGGAAAGGAGCGTTCTTTCAATTCCTAGCATACTTTAACAATGGAAAACGAACAATTATAATTGGCACAAACCATTTTCCAATTACTGGGACAAGGGAAGATAGAAAATAATAGGGAATGGGGTGTCTATGAGCGCTACCATGTTGCCACATGTGAATGCGAAGGAGCATAGCCTAAGCAAATTTATTAAATTCGTAGATGGTTTTGGGAGAGTTATGGTGGATAAAATTGAGCCATTTGAACAGTTTCTCACCAGCATGTTGTTCGCAATTATTTATATCATGCATGGTTTGTAGACATTCTCATGAATTTTTTTGTTTTTTCATCAACAATTAAACCATAAATAAGGGGACTTTTCAGCAAAAAAACACTTTTTCAAAAGCACTAAACTATACTGTTTTTCCTTTGAAAATTGATAGTTTTCTTAAACCGATGATCGAATTCTGCACAAAATACTTGTATTCAATAATGATTTAAATGATATTGACGGAAAAAATCAGTAGAATGTTTTTTGTAACAAATAACAATACTCGGATATCTACTATATCAATCGTTCAGAGTCCAAACCCCCTCCCCCCCTTTTAACTGGGTAAAGAGTGAAAATTTCGAATTTTCATTAGTAGCATTGAGATCAGCACCATCGAAAACCCTAGGGTAGCACAATGTTTTGGTATCGCAGATTGCTGTTTTCGAGAAAATTTTCAGACAATGCCTGCCAAAAGTCTTGGAACACTGACATCAATTTCCAAGGTCAAAACCAATCATCCCCCTCTCCCCCACGGAACAATGTTGGTTTACTATCAAACGGACTAGGATTTTAGGAAGCACTTTCTTTTGCGCTTCTTTTATGATATTTCTCTAAATCATCAACATTGTTTGAGGGGGAAGGGGGCGGAAGTAGCAAATTTTTTTCATGAAAGGAATGAAAGATATCAAATGCAGCGTAAATTGGTGGGTGTTCCAAGTACTTTTGGCAGGCATTGTAGAATCAAGTATAAAATTTAATCAAAGTATTAGTGGTATAATAAACTCTTGTAAACCATAATATTGCAGTCATTTGAGAAGATCGCTGAGAAGTTTGATCAACATTATGTTGAAAAAATATTTTGCTTCGTGGCAATATTGATTTGTTCTCAATGGTGCTCGTATATTTTAAGGTGCATTCTGCCCGCTCGATAAAGTGCCTTTCCAGGCAAGGCCTGGGTGAACTTACAAGGCATACTGAAGTGTATCCCACAAAATACTAAATAAACATACAATCTTAGGTAGAATATTCCAAGCATATTTCTCAGTAACAAAACTGAACATAAAATAATCAGGCTTTGTAGAATAAAACTTCCACAAAGTCTATCTGCAAAACTTTTAATAAAACAGAGCCTGACAAAAGTCAAGAAGAAAAACCAGCACAAAGAATGACTGATTACAATAACATACCCAGAAATTCCTTCAAGTTTCCATAATTTTGGGACACCTTCTCTTAAGGTGTTAGCAAATCCTTCTGAAGTTTGAATTCTAACTTTTATTGCTTCCATAGGTGCCAATGCAATGTCAGCGAAGAATTCTGCACTAGCAGATGCAGCAAGGTATAATGAAGTTCTGTACAAATAGGTATTTTCCTGCAAAGATACAAAATAGATAAATCTGCAATAAAAATGCAAGTAAAATTGGAAGACACCAAAGCTAAACTGAGCATTTCAATTCGGCCAAATAATCCACACCAGTATCTGGAGATGAGTACATTAGCAACCATTCAAACTTTGATTAAATTTATTTAAATCTTTACTCCCTCTAATATTTTTACTTTTCCTTATCTGTGCCCTTCCCATGGAAAAAACATGTGAGAAACAAAAAGATTTATTTATAAAAATATATATATATAAACATTTGTTTATATGACTGTATGGTGGCTGTCAGGAAAAATAAAACTTTGAAGATTAACTTTACAAAGCTCAAGGAGATAAACTTTCGAGTTATCCCAGAATTAAGGTTATTGAAATTTGATGTCAGAGGCTCTACAGAAGGGATTACAACAGAAATCACAGATAAAAGCCAGCATGTATATTAACTATAATTATATACAATTAAGTTTTCAAGCTTTATACATAAAGACACATCAACATACCTCTCCAAGCATATCACTATATAGAATCTTGAAAACTTCATAAAATCCAAATTTACATAATCCTTGCATAGAATAACCAATAAATGTTGGTGCCCATCCTTTGGCTAGACCTCTTGTGCCTTCTTCTGCCATTGTAACTCTAAATCCATTGAAAATGCTCTTGTATTTATCAGGACTGACCTTTTACAAAAAATAGCTTGTTTTAACAGGCATTACTCACCAAAGCAATGTACCATTGAAAGCACAAAAAAGGAACAAACTCTAAATACATATATCATACAATTAAACACTTTAATTCTGTTCAAAGTACACTCTTAAGGTGAAGTCATAAATAAAAAGTAGCATCCTTTACTAAAAGAGATAATTTCCAAGGCCTCTCAGGCTTCTCAAAAATAAGCAATATTGTGTGCCTCAGCCATTTCCATTAGATTAATTTGTGATCAGAAACTTTTCCTTGTTGCTTCAGGAAAAATCTTTTAATTACAGCATTCACTATTTAGGGAATTGCTAGCCTGCATCACAGATCATAACTTCTCCTCAGTTATCGTATGTGATATAGGCTAGGGAACCACATGACACAATATGAATTTTAAACAATGGAAAACACTCTGTGGGGCTTGAGTGTAAGGAAAGAACCACTCTAAATCTGTGTCGCCACTCTTACCATAACAAGAACAAATTTTTTAGATTGAAAGGTTGTTTAAAGTCTAGTTATGCTTGTTCAGTAAATTATTGTTACTAATTTATGTTTGGATCAAAATGATAGAAGTTAATTTTTTGGCTTCTATAACACTTATAATACTGAAAGAAAATTGCTTTATAATACCTAAAAATCGTACGGAAAAGTAGTAACATCAATAGTGCTGTTATTATCAAATTTTCCAAACGTTTTGAACAGATAGTTATGAATTGTGTGTCTCAATAAAAAATTCAGCTTTGAGTCCCACGATTAGCCATGCACTTACTAAAATCTTTATGGAGAGGCTTGATTTCCTAGACAAATTTTTCAGCTGACTGTTTTATTTAATTCTTTGAAATCTATTGCAAATATATGATTATACACACAATTTTTAATTCCTTCTTCACTCAAAATTGAAACCCATTGTTGGTGTTTCTTCTATCCTAGCTAAGATTTTCCCTTGACTAATGAGAACTGAATAGAAAAACTTAATTGTTCAAATCCTTGGATCAATATTGCATGTTATTTCAGGCTCTAAAGCATTTGTTTTGCAATAGAACAAAAGCTACTTGAAGATTCTGATGACTGTTTATTCCCCAAAAATTTGCATTCAAATTTTAGTTATTCTGCCAAAATTTTCAGAATAGCTAAATTTTAAAATTTTCAGTTTTTTAATTTAAAATTATATACTTGAAAACTTGTGGGTAAAGTTACTTCTTGAAAATGACTTTAAAACTGATGACAAAACAAGCTAGCAATGATACTTCTAACTTTCATATCAACAATTTCAACAAGGCAGTCTTTCAAAATTGTACTAATATTCAATAGTCTAGGGTTTGGATACAAAATGATCATTTAATATTTCTTTCCCAACATCAGAGAAAGAGGAAGCTTCCAGAGACATAACCACTAACAAGATGATTGGAAATATAATTAATATCATGCATTACTTACTTGAATTCTGCATTTCACTAAATCCAAAGGAACAACTGCTGTATGTGTTATGCCACAACTAAGAATTCCACCAAATCCACAAAGTGCATAATACTTAGCAGATCCAAATTCACAACTTATGTCCTCTAGAAGAAAAGTTTTTTTCAGAATTCAAATTTTTCAACAAGATGCAATTCAAATCAAGCAAAGGTAAAGCTTTTTTCAACCCCCCCTACCGCCATTGCAATGTTGTTCAATTGGGCTGTTTTGATGCTGAAGGTAAATTTTTTCACTGAAAGCTGTATGAAGGTATTGAGAAAATAAATCAACATTGTACGGGGGCGGGGTCAGAATTTTGGAAACAGCAGTGATATTTTGGTAAGGAAGTTCAACACTTGCTTTGTTTATTTGCATGCTGCAATGGGAAGATATTCCAACTATTTTGGGCAAGGATTGTAGCTCTGGAGCTACCCCTCCAGATTGATGGGGTAAAAGCGATTGTTGAAGCAAGGTTTTTACATAGGTATTCTTTGACATTGCATGTTTGGACAAATTTGGCATTGTTGCAACACAGGGCTAATTGTACCTAAAGGTGAAAATTTCTTGGATATTTAGTAAAACACCCAATAAAAGAAACTTGTAATGCAAGTTACAAGGTATTGATTTGAGATTGGAAATTTGGGTATGCGATACTTGTCTGCACATACACAGGTTTTTTGGCCTGATTATGAAATTGTACCTCCTCTAAAAATGATTGTGGAGCCCTGGCACATGAATGAGTGAAAGACAGAGAGTTTCTGTAAAAACTGTCTGTTGCAACAATTTGGCCTAGCAGTTACAAATGACCATCCCAGACTGGAAACTTTGTCACATGCCTGATATATAATGCAGCGCACTCAAATTTTCTATCTGCTTTTGCATATTGGCCATGCAAAGTCCCTATTTACTAACATTTTACATTATTAACAATACAGATTTCCTAAAAGTGTGTGATTTCAGGCACGCAGTTGCAAATTTTTATAATGAGCTTGTCCAGGCAAGAAACAAGTTTCCAGTCTGATGACCATTTTGGAGCTCAAAGTGGCAGGCAGAAAGCAAACTGGACCTTATTATTGATTCCTCCTATGTTCTATAAACAAATTTGTTTATTTTTATTGTTTCCAAACTAGAACTCATTTTTGCTAAAATCATATTTAATTTCAGCTCTGAAGCCACCCCAAAGAATAAAAACCACCTGACTATTCTGTTAAATCTAAAATTTAAATTTAAGTTATGCTAATTTTTAAGAGCAAACCATATATATGAAGATATATTTTACAAAAAGTGCTTCAAACCATATAAAGTTCTACTGCAGGGGTAATCTGTTATGAAGAGTGTATCTTGTTTAAATAAAAAGAACGCTCTTCATACTATCACCGTGCCAATTTTGCTGGCAACAGTAAACTTTGAGGCAAAACCGATGAACAACTTTGCGAAAGAATATAGTCCTAACTTTTTTTTCTTGCTGGGAGTCAAAGTTGGGTCATTTCAAGACAGAAAATCAGTCGATAAGGTTCATTATTATAAAGTTTGCGTAAAGGTTTTTTGGTTGCCTACTAGTAAAATAGCTTTAGAAAACAGAAACGTTCGAGCTTTGCCAACCCCAAGTATTATCTTAGGCCAATCTTTACTGACTGATCATACTCACCGGCCGCAGCCATTGCAGGTCTGCTTGGCACTATCTGCTTGGATGATTCGCTTTCCTGACATGATGCCACAAAAGGGCGCCCAAATACGTTATTCTGGGCTGTTTCGACAAGCTTGGAAAACATGTTGTAACAACTTCGTGCTTTCTCCTCAACAACCTCTCAACTTGTCCTCAGTCGGCGTGTAAAAGGAATCTTTTAGGAGGATTGATCACACGCATAAACTGGTGCTCCTTCCCAGCCCTTCAAGAGTGAGGTCAACCATCTTGGACCTTTTCGGACTTGGAAAAATGAGGCTAGCCTCTCTCTTCACATTTTGGCCTAATTCGAGAAAGACGGTGGATAAAGTCAGTGCAAAATTCTTTGTAAACTGCAGGAAGAGTTAGATTATTTGGACGTATTCAAGCCAACACAAGGATGGCACCTGTAAGATTTTTAAATGCTTTTAGCTAATTTTCTCTTGGTTTATAGGCTAATTTTTTGCAAAATCTGTCCCTCATTTTTTAAATAGAAATGCATTATGCCCCAAATGTGGTCCAAACCTTGGATGATGGTAGCCGATTAATGTCAGTCGTCTAAAGGTATATACCTCTAAGATCTGCTCACAAATAAATTGACCCTATATCTATAAAGAATGTTTGTGTTATATCGAAGGTAGAAGAACAAATATTGGGAAAATAAACAGCAAGGAAAATCATGAATTTGACAACGAACTCCCAAGCGAGGGGTGCTCATAATTTATTGGGCTTTCTTGTAGAATAGACGAATAGTGGATTGATCAGCCAGTAGGTGAAAACAGCAAAGAAAACAGCATATGGCAGGGTAGACATTTCCAGGGTTGTACAAGATTGAACATGCTAAAATTCACTTGCATAAGCAAAGAAATTGGTCTGGGAAAGAGCCTGTGCTTATATCATATATATGTGACCATACTTTGGTCAATTTGTAAATAGATTTCAATGATACTCTTACTTGAGAATTCTTTTGTGTGGGAAAACGGCCTTAAGTCATTTTTGGAATATTAACATCGTCAGAAAACTGTATCAGTTACAGAGAAAGTGAAAGAGAAGATTTTTCTGAAATACATAATTGCTTAAATGCATGCTGAGTTAAAATTTTCTCAGCCAAGGTAATTACCATGTCACATCAGTTAGAAAACACATCAAAATATAACAGTGACTGAGGTTTAAAACTTTTTTCTGAGTAATTTGTCTGAAAATTCAGATTTTGCTTTTTAATATTCATTTTTTTTCTATTCCAGTATTCGGTGAGTTTTAAAGAAGAAAATGGTAAGATATTTAAATAGATTTTCTCTGAAATATTTTCTCTGAATCATGAAACTAGTAAATTTAGCCCTTTTAATTGTAACAAGGTGTGTTTATTTCTCAATGCTTTAATGGCTTTGTTACATGTTACTGCATGTCAACAATCAAGTTCATATTATCAATCTCTTAATGTTGCTGGTTCTCTTGAGATACCTGTGTCTAAATTCTTGCTGTTTCTATTGTATTAATCAGTGTCTTCAGAATGAAATTTATATTGGGGGCTGTCCATTGTATTGCTTTTCATTTAGTACATCCCTATAGAAGATATAGTAAAATTTTAGTACATCACTTATTGAGGGTGGGTCTCCAACCCCCGAACTGGGGCTGCATGCCATATGTGAATTCACTGTGTTTTCTTTGCGTTAGCTCATGAAGCAAGTATCTGGGCTGTTGCATGGAGGAAAAACGAGAAAGATGGAAGTGAGAATATTGTCAGTGGCGGTTTGGATGATTTTGTGAAATTCTGGAAATGGTATGGACGTTTGCAATCATTGCTTTGAGCAAATGTATTCAATGTCTAGGGATGTTTTTTTGTAATTGAAACAGGTTAATTGGTTATAATTTGGTTCTAAGTAGCTAATACTAGATTTTTCTAGCAAAAACAACAATGGCATCAAATTTAAAGAAATGCGGTGCAGTAAATCAGATTTTAAAAAGAACCTGCAGTTTTTACTGAATTGTTTTTCAAGAAAGTGCCATAAATTTCAGTTAAATCAACATATGCCAAGCATTTATGGATAGAAAATGCACAAAATTGATTTACTTTTAACATGTGCATGGCTACCCTTCAATTCTAAAAACGACCTTAAAAGTTTGTTGTATTATGAAAATATGATATTTCTTTCAGGCAAAATGGTCGGCTGGAGCACCAAAACACTTTTGAAGGTCATCAACTTGGCATTGTTTCAGTTGCAATCAACAGTGCAGGAAACTGTATCCTTTTTATTGCCACTTACTGATTTTATTTCCATCGATCTATGAAAAAATTATAACTTAGCAAATCACTTACTAATAGAAGATTTTACCATTTAATAGCAAAAAACCTTAACATTACCCAGTGGCTGCCTCAAGCTCGGTAGACAGCTATGTCAGGATTTGGGATCTAGAGCTTGGAAAACAGATAAAAAGTATTGATCTTGGACCGGGTGAGCATATCTCTTAATATCTTTATTGTGTATTAGTCTCTTTATTGCCTTTATAATGTCTCTTTTATTATATAATATGAGTAGTATTAATGGTAGTATAAGGCGATGTATGATTTTTCATGCTTTCAAAAAGTGTTGTATTTATGATAAGCCTTGAAAATGCATTGTTTTTAAGTTGCTTTGTTATGTTTTATCTGCCTATTTTAAAAATATTTTAGAAGATTGATTGTAGACTGAAAGTTAAGAAACTGTTTTTGCTGAAGGATTAATGGATAACTTGTTCTTTTATAGTTGATACTTGGACTGTCACATTCTCTCCTGATTCAAAACAAATTGTCACTGGAAGTCACCCTGGAAAAGTCAACTTTGTTGGAATAGAAAGTGGTAAAAAAGAGGAGTCCCTTGATACAAGAAGTAAATTTACAATGAGTATAGCATATGTAAGTGCAATTCCTATTCTGTTTACCAATTTCTTTTTCATATTTGTACAATCTACTGGCACCTATTGAAAAAAACCTGGTTATGAAATTCAAAGGAAGAATTTAGTCAAAATGTCTGATTTTTATGTTGGTTACATAAGGATTAGTGTTCTTGATAACAGGCACATTTGCTTCAAAATAAATGTATTAAGAGGTTAATATTTTCCATTAGATTTAAATTTAAGAGGTTAAAATACATTACATTAGCAGGCCTTGCTCTAAGCAAAATAAAGGTGCTCTATAAAAAGAGCCCCTTAGAAATTCTAGGCGCTCTATTTTGCACCTCTAAATAAAATATCCTTGAGAGCATCCTTCGAGAGCTTTGGAAAATCGAGAGTTTCATATCGAGAGCTTCGGATATTGTTTAATAAGACATTCATCGGTGATACAAAAAAGCACCATGATATGGAATAACAAAACAAAACATGCAACAAATACTATGTCAATGTTAATATAGAAATATAACAGAACAAAGTCTCCAAATTGTTCAGATTTTTCTAGATATGTAAGCTGCCATCACTTGATGAGCTTTAATCACTTTCAGTATCATTAAACAGTTATGTTCAGCTTTATATCGAAAATTTTCGAAAATTTGACTATATTTCCGTTTTTATCTTCTTCATTCTTTAAGACATGCTAGAACATTTATGACTCACAGAAGCAAATGAAAACTAAAAAGCAATGCGATAATTTTGGCGGAAATGTGATCGCTGATTTGCACAGGCCATCTTAAGTTATTAAGAAAAACAGAAAATAATACTTCAACAGAATATTAACGCTTGCTTGAAAATCAAATGTATCTGACAGAGAATACGCTTTATGGCCTGTGTCATTGATGGTTATTAGAGGGTTATTAGATTAAAAATAATATCGAAAATCCAATTGTTTATGCTTGATCAAGTTTATTCAACAAATGTCAAAAAATTATTTTGCTCCGTGGTAATATTGTTTTTACGTTTTGAGGGGCTCTTTAAATCGCTCTCCAAGGCTTTTTTTGGGTGCGCTCTAGGCGCACGCGCTCGATCGAGCGCCTTTCCGGGCAAGGCCTGCATTAGATTTAAAACTATTTGATACCAAATTATGTGGCCTTAACCCATTCACTCCCGTTGACGCCAAATGGCGTCAAAGAGTGTTTGGCACATTTCCCCAAAAACGTCAAATGACGTCGCAAGCTTTTTTGCATTTTTCCCCACGGACGTCGTTTGACGTCGTGAATTCTTGTTGCCTATTGGCTAGCTTACACTTAAGCTATTGTTCCTTAACAAAAACGAAACCATACAGAAATAATTAAACGTTGTTTATATGCAAAAATATGCATATGGTCCCATACTAAAATATTTTGAAAAGACCGTTACAACGCGTCGGCCTTGAAATCCTGCGGCCGTTTGCCAACAATGGTAGGCCTACTTCCCGTTGCGTTTGGAGTAGCCATAAAGAGGAGCATTTTTACCCAATTTACCAACGAAGTACTTGAATTACAATCTGATGCTGATATTTCTGATGTTTTGGAGAGTAGCTCTCCAGAATCAGAAGGTGATGAAGGCGCAACCGAGTCAAATTTGAATTGCGACCTTCGTGTCGAGCGATCAAGCTTTTGAGGGAAGGAACGCATAGGCCCGACAGTTCTTTGGCACAGTGAAAGACAAAGTTTGACTTTTCAAAACTCTCTTCTGGTAGTTATTTTTGAAAAACTTGCTAAAGAAGCAAACCTGTGTGCAGAACAGAAAACAGAGACACCCTGGATCCAACTTGGAATGAAACTAATCCCTTTGAAATCAGAACGCTGGTAAAAGATGGCGTCCAATCAGATTCCCGAAGTGTGAATACTTGCATCTACTTAGCGAAAAAAGAAAGACCGCTTGCCACTATTTGTTGTCTCAAAAAATATTGACTATTTGCAGGACCTAACCTTTACAATTACGCATTAAAGGATGATTTCACGAATGAAGTTCTTGTGGTTACGAATTGTAAACCAAAGCAAGTGAGGACTGCGATCAACTTGTAACACAACACCTTGTTATACTTTACCCAACAGCTTGTTATTACTAAACGGTTGTGGATGTACCTAATGTTTTTTTAGTTCGACCTGTTCAATTATTATACTTGCTTCAAGGCGTCAGCGAACCAGAAGAAACTAAACAGCAGTGGAAAGTTGTAAAAGCTTTCATTCAAAAACACCATATTGAAACCTCACAAGGAAAGCCAGACTCTTGCAAGCGTAGAGCATTTAAAGCAAGATAGAGTGACCATGGACACTGGAAAAAGAACCTAATTATATCAGAAATGCAGAAATTGCTCATTGAATAAGAAGTTTCAAGTTATTAACGAAGGATGTAGCTTGGAGTTTCAATCAGCTTTTTCATTGACTGCTTTTAGGCCTTACCATGAAGAAAAACAATTAATATTGGTATTATCTGTCAATAAATTAGCTAAAATTTGGTATAATTATAATCCTTAATCCTGTATCTCTTTCTTTTCTCTAGAATGTTTGTTAAAAGAAGTTATGGTTTTTGAGATAAATGAGTTTTTCTATGGTCAGCCCTTATTTTCTAAACTTCATAAAATTGTCTCGGGGATCAGAGCAAAAAACACGAAATAGAGGCTGGGGCTAAATGCAAAATAGCTTGATAACAGCTGGGAGTGAATGGGTTAATCTTTTGTTTTTAAAATTTTGTATTTATCTATGCAAATTTCTTTTTGCACCAAAATAATATGCACTCCTTTGCAGAGTCCTGATGGTCGATATGTTGCATGTGGTGCTATCGATGGTATTGTGAATATTTTTGATATGCCAACAAGAAAATTACTGCATACACTCGAAGGTAAGCTTTTCTTAGGCAAAACCATAAGAAACACAGCCTTCTGAATTAACCATTTTTTTTAAAAGCTGGGATTTGATGTCAAACTGTATTTCAAATACCATGTATATGGTTTATGTAAACATCTTAGTTAACTGGACTTCCCTTTTGAACATTTCTTCATTTGAAGACTCCTAAAGATTTTGGTTATGTCTTCTTTTAAGCCAATGAAAATCTTTGAAAGAATTTGAAATGAATTAACATGAAACATCAATCATAAAGCATTGATTTTTAAGTAACGTTTTGAATTTCACTTTAAAAATCCAACCTCAAGGTTCTTAGATTTGTTTCATGACGCAAAGAATAGATCTTGTTTCTAAATGCATGATTTTCAGTTTTATGTTGTTTCTGTTTTATGTATGGTCAATGAACCTTAAAAATTTATTTATGGTTCATATATGCAAAGATACAAACTGGGCTTCAAAGTTTTTAAATTGAAATTTGTTTTAGTTTAATTTTTTTAGTCTAAACTTGTACGAGAATAAAATCTAAAAAAACATTATTTCCTCACAGGTCATGCAATGCCAATTAGGTCCTTGACATTTTCTCCTGATTCTCAACTGCTTGTAACAGCATCTGATGACGGACATTTAAAGATGTATGATGTGCAACATGCTAATTTGGCAGGAACATTGTCAGGACATGGATCTTGGGTCTTGAGTGTTGATTTTTCTCCTGATAATACTCATTTTGTCTCTGGGTAATTCCATTAAATTTTTCTCCTAATATTATTCACAGAAGACAAACAGATAAAAATTATTTTCATTGCAAGCCAAATGAAGCAGGGTTTATCTTAATTAGATTGCCTACTATTATCTAGAATGTTTGATTCATTCAATAGTATCTAATTATAAATTGATGTTGAAGATTTCTTTTATTTGGCACATCATTCTATTCATCATTTTTCCATGAATGTGATTTATCAATCAGTCAATTATTCCAGCCTTTTTTTAGATTATTAAGCCATGTTAATGAATATGTACATGGCCATCAAAGGATTATACATTGATGTACACATACACAAGTGTTGATGCATATTCTTTTTCCATGTTATAAAGACCTTTTGTATTTTCACCATAGTTCTATGTAATGTTCCTTTTTATACATAGTTAGAATATAGGTTTTAAGCCACTGGGAGCTTATCTTGAAGAGTGTCACCATAGTTGGTCACCTTGAGATGACAATTCACATTTAATCTATTTAAACTATTGTGAGTTTGTTTTTCTGGCCTGTGCCTCCCCCTAAGTTTTACATGTTGAATCTTTCTATGATTGAATTTATGCCCGTGTTCTGGGAGAAAGAAAATAAGCAACATTATATTCTGGTATTAATATTCATTGTGATCTTGTTTTAAGCTCCAGTGACAAGTCGGTCAAAGTATGGGATGCTAGTAGTAGGCAGTGCATACAAACATTTTATGAACACAGTGATCAGGTGAATAAAACATCATTTAGAGTTCTGTTGTTGCTGTTTAAAAATTTGAAAATCACTGATAATGATAACTGTATTTTCATTATTATATTGCTTAATTTTTGCATGTAAAGAGAAAGAAAACTTTCAAGATTCTAAAATTCCTTCCAGATTTTTAGAGGTTATAGTTGTACACAACCAGAAAGGACTTTCATCTTTATCATTTGTGATAGATTCAGATTTTGTCTGAGACTATGCATATTTTCATTCATTCAATTTTGTATACAATAAAAGATGCCATTTATTTTTATTTTGGTGTAGGTATGGGGAGTTAGTTACAACAACAATGGATCAAAGATTGTATCAGCATCAGATGATAAATCTCTTGTGGTTTATGATGTACCGTTATAGAAATGGATGAATCTAGAAGAAAGTGCCTGATACTAGAACATTCAGATGCACCACGTGCTTCTAGTCCAGGTTCATGACTTTGCACTACAAGCCATTTGAAGACATGATGTGTCTTTAATCATGTGATAATTGTCTTGACCAGAAGGTAAATTACAGAAGGAGCAGGTTGTGACAATTTTTGAAAGTATTTCAAGACTTGTTTACAGTAAGGTTTATTTCAGATTGTTAGACAAAAATGCCTTGTTTCAAACTTTGAAAGAAAAAATCATAATTGCTACATTTTGATAAAATATTTTACACCTTTGGTAAAAGAGCAGATGCTTACAGTTTAGAAAAAAAAGTAATATTAATCTAAAATGACATTTCAGAATTACTATTAACTGGTTTAGGGGTACTAAGAAGCTCTAGCCTGTGTGCACACCCAACTGGTTTTCCGAGAGATGAATCTAGTTGATTGGAAATTTAGTTGATGGAAAAATTCCTTGTTTCTCTCCCAGTGAAAACCTAAATTTTCCATTCAACTAAATTCATCTCCACGTGAAAACCAGTTGAGTCTGCACACAGGCTAAACAAGCTCTGGTTGAATTCACCAAATAACCATAGGAGTCCAGTTGAATTTATTTTTAATTTGTAAAAAACACTAATATTATGTAAAGGGAAGTGGCTGTATTCTTAATGTCTTTCTTTGGTGGCTAATTTTTTCAGATACAAAACATTTCAACCTTGGTTTTAACATTCAGGATTTGGACTTTATTAACATTTTGCTTTATAAGAAGTTGAACCACAAAGCTATAATAGTTTTTACTGGGTAGTTTGTACAAAGTGTAAACTTTTGCTATATCTGCTGTATTTAGCAACATCAAAAGTATCAATGTCATTGGAAATTGTGTTTCTGTTTTCAACAAATATTCAACTAGTTGTCCCTTTTCTTGAAGTAGGGGTAGAATTAAACTGGAAATAATTGTATCCTTTGAGATAAAAATAGTGGGGCATTTTTGATTACTCAAATAGTTTTGGACATTCAAGGAGGAATCTTGTCATATATGTGTACGTAGTTCTCTAAAAAATCTATGGTTTTGCATTTTTAATGATACGAGGCTTATTAAAATTACAATGTGCTAGCAAAACAAGTTAACTTTCATGTTTGATAATTTGTCTTCATCATCACCATTGTCATAATAATTTTACTTTAACAACCATTTGTGGTTTTAATACTGGCTCAATAAACCAGGGTTGATGTGCAATAAAAATTATGTTTTAGTGAAAATTAGTCTCAAATTAATTACTTTGTATAAAATATTAAACATAAATGTAAACTGAGTTTCAATTGTCTTCTCCCATTATTTGTTGCCATATTCACTTCATAAATATTAAATAAATAAGCTCTTTGCATATGCGTTGGTCTATCATTTAATTATCTTGTCAATTTTGAATGTGCAAAGCAACACATTGGTCCCACACCTTCAAGGTTCTGTCATATGCTGGGTAGATAGATACCATGTTGAATTACTATTTCTGCATGCTTGGAGTTGCCAAATGCCCCCACTAAAAGCATATTAGGAAAATATGGAATACAAATTTGTGAAACTGATGGCTGGTTCCTCTACTCAATAGCAATTCTTGCAACAACCATCAAATGGTCTGATGGAAACAGTTCTTCTGGTATTTGTGAAGATACTAAGTTTATCACATCTGCATGGCTCCATTTGAAGAATGTATATGTAGCAAACATTCCAATGATCATTGTTAAAATAAAATATTTGCTTCCAAGTACAGACCTGCTCAGTTGTGCACAAATTCTTGGCCTTGCATCCAGAAGGACACACTTTGAAATAAGGATAAACAAACTGAATATTGACAGTAATACTAGAATGATGAATATTGCCTGCAAAAATTGATAGTATCTCAGACGAGCTGGTCCACAGGAAGAGCAAAAAATTTCATCACATTCATCATTTCTTTTCTGGACACAAATGCCACACCTACAAATTCCATGTGGTCCACAATCCCAATAACAAGAGCTGTCAAAGAATTTTCCTTCAGTCTGGAAGCGAGCAGCATTGTGTATTGAGTTCAAGCGGGCAATGTAAAGATTTTTCTGATAATCACGCTTGTATTCACTACCATGGCCAAGAGTAAATACTGCATCAAGCTTGAATCCTGGTTTTGATAATAGTATTCTATCTGGGCGACTTTTGAACCCAGGCTGTGGCTATAAGATGAAAACAAAAATGAGATGATTGGTGAAAGAATTATCTAGCAAAAACAGTGGATAATAAAAAGTTTTCTTATCAATGAATAGCTATATGATGGAACAGCTTGCATATATTATTTGACTGATCGACAAGAGCATAGGTAATGGGGGTATAGGGGGTGTGACACCCTTAATTCTTGATAAATCTTCAGTTGGTCCACAAATTCCTTTAATGGACAGTTAAATTATCTATTTGCGAGTAAAACAGCACCTAAATTTTTCCTAATATATGTCTTCATCAGTACATTTTACACTTTATGACCCTCTACCCAATTGTCTGGAAAGTCAAGCTTCATCATTGCATACAATCAAGAAGTATGAAATTGTGACAAGGTGTGCCAGTAAACATCACTGCTGCTCACTGGCAGCTCTTAAGGTCAGAAATGAATGTGCTTATTTCTACTGTAAACATAGCATCATGATCTACCGACATGTTAAATTGTGGAGTTTTGCTGCTTTCCCAATGTCAGAAGCATGTCTTTTATCTGTTTTGCAAATTCTTAATGATAATGAAGCAGAGACTGTTAAAAGTTTTAGGCTTTCTAACACGCATCTTACCATGTTACTGAATGTGTACCCATTACTTCTTGGATGTAGATCAGTCCATGCATCTTTGAATTCATAATCAGATTGTCCATGGAACCAAGGTTTCTTTCTAAGTTTACAAACATAAGGTGATTTTGGATCTACTTTTCCAGTAGCCAATAACTTCATTGGCCATTGGTAATTGTTATAGACGTTGAAGTCCCCAAGGACTATCATCTTGTCAGCTTTTGCATTGTGAAGATACCCTAGTACATCCCAAGCATTCTGGCATTGGGAGTTTCTATCATATGAGAAATGAGTCACTGCTACAGATATCTCTTCCCCTTCAACTGAAACTTGGGCACTAAGAACTGCCCTTTGTGTGGAGTCTTCTCCTTCACTCTTTGACAAGTTCACTGCATGATATGATAAAATCCTGTGTCTGCTTAAAATGCCTATGCCTTCCACCTCCCATCCAGGTGGGCGAGAGACACCATTTTGATCTACTACACGAGTTGGGTGGAAGAGACTCCATTTGTACTTGGGAAGAAGTTCTTGAAGATCGTGCAGTTGGTTGTGTTGTGTTTCTTTATGAGCGCGTACCTCTTGGAAGCCAATGATATCAATGTCATGTGTGTCTATCTGTTAGAATAATGGATGTACAGTCTTTTGTGAATGGCATAATGGAAACAAAAACTATAACTTGAAAAATTAAATTACGCTACTGGTATTAAACAATCCAGGTTCAGTGAGAATATTGTATTCTTACTGACTGTGAACCAGGCTTAAGAAAACCAAAATGGATGGAACTCCAGAATTTCAATTTCATGAAAATCCAACAATGTGACCAGCTGGCTGGCAAACAGCAAAGAACAAAAAAATGCTTCACTCATCCAAATACAAACTTTTCAAACAGCAGGAAAATCTCTTTTTTAGAGAATGCTACAATAACTTTAAAAACAATAGAAACATTGAAAAGTTATAATATTTGCAGCTAAGAGCCCTTCCCCAACACACCTTGCAGCTATGAACCCAGTTGTTATTATGTGCTAGTTTGGTCCTGTTCTGTTACCATTTTTGTACTGATTCTTAGGATGAAAAGTCTCTTATTTAGTTTCTAGTAAGAAGCAAAAAAACTTCTGGTTTGAAAAATAAAAAATAGCGCCCTGAAAAAAATATTGACATCTAAATTAAGAAACTTTTAAGAAACAAACAGTATTTAAATTTGCCTTATAAGAAACTGGAGTGCTATATGTTTCATATAAAAAATGTGAGAATTTTGTTTTGCACTCAACAATCTTCTGTTAATGGGTGAAATAAAAATATTCTACATACTAAGTCAGCAATGTGCAACTTTCTAACTTCCCAGTGAAACATTATATTCCATATATTGTATGTTGCAACAGTTAAGTCACTCGGTTCATCTCCGTTAATCTGCAATAGACGCCTTTCTGATACTACTACGTTCTCTTTAAGGGGCCTAACCACTCGACGGTCCGATGCAATGATTTCGAAACAAATACATAATATCAACACTGTAAGAGCATACATTGCGATAGTTTATGTCTTTCTCATTCAAACATAGTCCTAATTCTATAGACTATGATTCAAAATATCCATTCTTAGATGCATTCTTTATCCTTTATCTTCACTTGGCGGCAAATGCCTCGTAATGAATTACTTAAACGAGGCTGGACTGTTTATTGGCAACAACTGTTCGTTGCAACTCACTATGAATTAATAAAAATTAACAATTGTTATTAAAAACAGTATGATTTTGAAAACACATAGGTTCAAAGTCACAACATATCAAGCATACCGAAAAAATTGCTGCTTGAGAAATATTTGAACGTGTATCTCGTGGGAAAACTGTAGGTAGAGATAACTAGTTTCACTGTCCATTGAAATATTACAAAAAAGACACTGAGAAAAAAGCGTGACAGACCTCAGAACAGTTTTATCGACCATGCATTATAGATCATACCATACCTCTTCTTTGAAAAAATGTTAAAGACTTTAATCTCATTGTCATAAAAAAGCAAATAAGTCACAGCGCAAAAAGAAAGCAATTTTATAAAAGAAGGCTTCAATTTTCAAGTGATTTAGTTTACATTTTTGGTTTATTCGTTCTTTTACTGAAAAACAACTTTATTTAGGGGTTCGATTTTTACCTATTTTTGTAAACAGTTTCTTGGCGGTACAGAACTTGAAAATGGCTTTGAAAAAAGCAAAAGACTTTTCGTCTGACACTCCTTAGAGCATAAAACGTCAGAATAAGGGTCCGAAAGAACAAGATGAAAAATATTGCATTGCTTTTGAAGCATCCTTTGAAAGTCATACTCTTCTGTTTCTAAGTGCTGACATCAAAAGAATTGGAATTATATAGACTGAAATGAAATAGAAAAATAAGAGAGGGTACATCCTATTTCTATTTGTTAAACATTTTCACTAAAAATTACCTTTCAACTCACACTAGCCTGATTAATCTCTCCCTGGTCATCTCTATGGTCTGATTGCAGTTCAGCAACTGTACAACTGGAAACGTTTCGATGACAAAGGTCAAAATTAAAGTAGGAAGATGAGCATAGTTTAAAATAAAGCAAAAGAGGCAATAGATGGAACATAATTACTAGCTTCAATAAACACAGACAGGTTTTTGATAGTTTTAGAAAGGCCCAGTTGTTTAAACTTTAGACAGGAGTTCTCGTGCAAACGTTTATCAAGAAACACTTCAACTTTCTCGTTTGTTTTCAAATTCAGTTAAAGCTTCTGATGCTAAGCCTTTCCCTTGAGTGCAAGATATGGAGCCCATGATATGGATAGAATGTCCTAAAACCTGACATGGGTTAATTTTCTTATAGGTATAGCTTTTAATGTCTAATCCTCAACTACAGTATGTAATAATATAATATTATAGGGACTGCACAAACATAAGTTTTGAAGTAAAGATCGCATTAATTATATGCATAAATGATTATACACATAATTACACATAAATTTAGCCTGCGTGCAGACTTTGCAAATAGAGGAAATTCTAATACAAATTTGTAGTACAATTTCCTCTATTTGTAAAGTCTGTACGCAGGCTAACTTAAATTACGCACAATTATACACAAATTACGCACAAATAAATTCTGAAGGCAGATCATTTCACAAAGTACGTCCCACCCATCGAGAAGAAGGAGAACTAGAGTCTTACGTTTGAATTGGGGCACGACTTGCAGTAACGCATTTGTAATGAAATTGAAATTTTAATAATCCAAAATATGGCCAATAATCAAATTTTATAAGTTAAAAGTCTTGTTCAAAAAGGAATTTGTCAAACTGCTGAAATCCTGTGAATTTGGGTGTGGATGTTCATTTGAAAATGAGAAGGCCTAACTTTGATCTCTTTTCTTCCATATTTTAAATTATTATGCCGATGTTGCTTGAATATTCATTTTGTATCTGGTAGAAAGACGAAAGGACAGTGAAACAATGTAAAAAATTTGTGTGACGGTCAGGTGTCTACGAAGAAATATTCATCAATCCTTCTAGATATTTTAAGTAAAAAGGAGCAACTGATGAGATTAAAGTTTCTAGTGTTTTGTGGGTTTGAAGAATGAAAAAAATGGGAGTCAGGAAAATTCCTTGAAAGCCACAATTCTTACTTGAAAACTATTTCTAATCGTAATGTCAGATAGGATGGTACGATTCACATGAAGCTTTTTTATTTGGAAATTTAGGTACTTCATGTAATTTCCACAGTTTCTAGGGTTTTCCTTGAATTATCGAATCTACATTGCCCTCCATCTTTTCCAAAAGGTATTCTCCTTTTTTTGGTATTGTTCGAGCACTGGCACCGCAGAGCGCTGAAAAAAGTGGGGGTCTGAAAAAAATGGGGGGGGCTAAAACCGTATAAAAAGAGGCTTTGATGGTAGTTTATTACTTGATATTTGGCATTTTATGCAAAAAGTGGGGCTCCGCGGTGCCTGGCTTTTTAATAAACAATATCCATCCACATTAATGTGAAGAGTTTCGTCGTTATTTGTTTACTTTTGACTCACTAAACATAAATAACCCGTTGTCTGCGTTGTCTTTGTGAAGCTTCCTTCTCATTTTTATCTCAACGCCAGACTAAGGGAATTCTTTTAAATCATTATTTTCCACCTATCCCCGATTACTGAAACGATAATCATTAGAGGGAAGTTTTTAAGTATTATAATCACGTTCTATAAATCTCTTCTATCTCCCTTTTTTATTTTAACAACCCTGTGGCAATATGCAAACAGGAGCAGCCCTCCAAAAATTCTGAAGTGTTTCGAAGCAAAAATTTACAAAGAAATGCATTTGGACAACTCTAGGGGCCCCCTCTAGTTCACGTGTTTCATTGACGGTCAAGTCCTCTGAGGGAAGAAATACCTTTTATACACATGCCGATTTACTACAAAAGTGCTTTCTCGCCAGCTAATACCAAGAGCTGCGTCCTTAACTTTATCATGTGTCTCGGGGCCTGGGGGCCATTGTCCAAAAAAATTTCCTAACATGGTATGTTGCAAATAGCTATACCAAGATCTGCTCCCTCCCCTCCCTCCCCCTTCCCTATTCTATTCAGAATATGCACGCTGCACTTTAATATCAGATTTAAATAGGAATCACGAGGTGTGGTCACATCGAGAGGAAGGACCAGGACACTGCTCGATAAGCATAGCTTCTCAGTGTCCTAAAAACTACCTTCTGATGCTAGGTAGAAACAAATACAAATATCAGGTTCTAAACAAGTTACCAGCACCCCCTTCTAGCCAAAGACGCATGCTGTGGTTCTAATTTTAGCATGAAATGAAGGTAATATAAAAACAGGGAAATTAATCTTAAGTTTTTTCCTGGTTTTGCATCTATTGCGATTACCGATAAAGCTCACATTGTATCTTAGGATATATTTATCGTGATTTCGTATTTATGATTCTTGAGTAAATACCTATTAATTAGAAAATCGGATGTCAATTTTTCCTTGTCTTTTCAAAATATCAATTATTGCGTTCACATGTAATGCTTTGATTCTTCAAGAGGAAATTCCAGTGACATCCGTCAAAAATAGGTTTTATTGCTAAGCCAACGTGGGAATTGGAATGCCCAATTGTTGTTTGGAATCAAGAAAACAATTATGTTAGCAATTAAAAGATTCTTAACACCTACGATGTAATTAACTGCGAATTAAGTGCAACATGGAGATAGCCATGTATGGATGTTTAATCAGAAAACGAGAAAGTTATGCTCTTGGGAACGGCATGCAATATTCAAAATCAATATTGCGATTTCTCTTCAGAGATCAAGTAATCTCGCTATCCCAGAATGCACAATCCCTGCCTAAATTATTGGTCAATACACAAGATTTTTGAATACTGTCAAAATCACTCTGGTCATAGGGGGTGGGGGTGACGGTCTTTCATAGGCTTTCTGAAGAAAAGTTACCAGAGGCAACGCTTTGTTTATATGAAATGTTTAACGAAATATTGTTTAAAGAAATTGCAAGTCAGAGGGGCTGAAGGGATTATTGCCCCCCTAGTTGGTATGCTAGATAAGGCTCTGTGGTCTTTTTTTAACGTAAACTGCTCATGTTTTGGAAATGTGCCGAAGCAACAGAGCGTTCTAAGGAATTCTTTTAAGGATTTGAGCTTCGATTCTCACATTTGCGAGAAGATAATTAGAATGTGAAAGAAACAGCTGCATTTCGGGCAAAATTTTCAGGTATGGAGTCTAAAATGAACTCTCAGGATCTTGAAATTTCTTAGAAACCCATCTGGAAAAAAGGTAAGCATTGTCATCCTTGAAGGAATGACATTGTTCGATTACGGGCGTAAGAAAGATAACAGCAGAACAGAAACGTATGTAGTTAACATGCGTAGGGCTGAAGATTGGGATAGATGGCGGGTGTGCCTCACGGCAGAAAACCAAGCACAGGAGAGGGGGCATGTCCTCAAAGATTTTGATGAAATTTTGTTGGGAGAGATTTTGTCCTGATTCCTACAAATGTCTGTACAGAGGCGCTGGAAAAGGTGTGGGAAACGGGGATTGGGTAGGAATCGTCAAGAAAAGGGAAATGCGATTTTAAAATAAAGAAAATTGCTTAATTTGTCGTGGGCCATGGGGCAACAACCTCCGTGCATCCCCGCGTGCCCCCTTGCCACGTCGTCCCTCTCTCGATAACAAGCTCCTTCAAAGAGGATGCTGCGAAGAACCCCCAACGTCGAAGTGATTACACGAATGACATAACCCTAACGTCATGCGGATGTATTGTGTAAAACCAAAAGGTCTATAACGTTGCGTGGTAAACCAATCTTTTATTACAAAAGGCAACTTATATTGTCAAGGGCATTTAGTTTGTTTATTGTTCTGCAAGTCATAAATTGGCAGACGTATTCAAACTGAAGGAATTCATTCTTGAGAATGGAAAGTAATTTAGGTAATGTGTTGTCAAAAGCAATTGCACAAGGAAAAGGTGTCAGTTGTGGACTCACCAGGGAGAAATCAAGATACCTCTAGAGAACGAAATTGATTCTGAGATGCCTCGAGTTTTTCTAATTCGAAGACATATTGCTGATCTGATTGAATTCAATGAAGACATTTCAGATAATGACTTGCCCCAAGAAACGTTGATACAGAAAAGAATTTTCGAAGGTAAGAATTCTTTCAATTATACTTGCCTTTTACGCTCTTTATACGCTCTTGAACCCTATGTTGATTTATCGTAAATCCGTTTGAAATCTGATTTCTCTGCTTTTTATGCGAGGAGAGGGGTTGGGGTGCTCTCTCTATAGTTTACCCACTTACTTAAGAGACACTCATCCTTAATCCGTCTATAGCCTATAATATAGAAATTATGAAGATGATCGTGCAGTT